TCGATAAACGTTTAAATATAAAAAAATCGATTTTATATTATCCCGTACAGACTATTGTTGTTACATTGCAGCAATATTGCGGCAATATTGCTGCAATGTAACATGGATAAACTGTGCGCATTAGACCAACGGGACGTTCGAAGAAGACAAGAAGCGAAAGACACGTCTGTAGGGAAATCGTCATTTTTGCTGGTTCATGAATTTCCGCACTCGATTTAACGATCGATCGATCCTTATCTTTCTCGCTCTCGATCGGCCATTGCACGCAGGATGCATCCGGGTCCTGCGAGTGCATTAACGGCGTTTCTCGAGTAAACGCGCGTCGACGTATACCCTGTTATCCTCCGTGTGTACACGAGAGCGTATTAATATCGCGGCAAGGGTATATGTGCGACGAGCAACTGATTAGAGCGGAGCCCCCGGTCGTGTCAACATACGAAACGAACGGAACGGGACGCCCGCGCCGGCAACGTTGCGAGCGCGGCCGGACGACTTTAGTAGCCGAATGCAACGCACGCTCGTCCGGCTCGGTGGAACGTCCGCGCGTCCGAGAGAACGACCTTCCCTCCGCACCGGTTCGCGTTGTGTCGAGGAACTTCGCTTACCGTGCCTATGCCTCTGCGCGAGCGCTTCTACTTCGTTCGCTCTCTTCAGACGCGCCACGTTCTTCCTCGCTTCTTCGGGTGCAAATCTTGCGCGAATTTCAAGCGAGATTCAGCTCGACATTCTTAGCCCCTCGATCGGCGAAGATGAACCAAAATTTAGAAATATGACGTTTGTCCGTTCCTACGTGTGCTTAATTATAATCTAGAAGAAAAATTAGAATTTGTAGGCGATTTTACAGGAGATGCGTTTTTTTGTCACAGACAGTCATAAGTTACATTCTTTGGTTATGAATAAATTTGAATACATTTTGCATAAGAAACCACTCAAGGCAGAGAGTTATAAATATTTATAACTTAAAAAAAAACAGGGTTACGTATAATTATTTTTCTTATCTATATATATAGAAGTTGGCTCGAAATTTAAAGATATGATAATTATTTGTAACAAAATTTTTAATTAATGTACAACTCTACTAAGCAGAAAATTGATAATAAGAGATATTATTTTACGAAGTATTCTTTTAAAACACAATGAAATGCCTCAATTATTGCAAGTCACACACGCGCATAAATCTGATATATAAATTATTCTCCAATATATATTTTCTTGCATAAATGTTTTTTTAAAATAATTGCTACTCATTTATCTATTCATTGAATATTAAATAGCAAATTATTTATTGAAAAAGGAGCAAATTTATCTGACTGCAATTTTTCAATTCGTAAACGTGTATTAATGATTTCTATATTTCAAGAGCCTGAATTACATTAATTCTTTCACCTTTTTCATACATTTTTATAAGAAATTTATAGCTAAATAAATACGAAAAAAATACACATATTTATATCGATAATCTATCTTATCTTTTTTTAATCATGATTTTTATCATGACAGTAGAGTGTATGTTTTATAATCATTGGAGGGAGGAAGAGAGGGGAAATCTAGATTTATTTATACACTAATCATGATCGAATGAAAGAAATGTGAAGAGCGATATAAATTATATGTACAATATAAAATGCCACGTTGTGTGTGAAGAACTTTTCGGCAAGTGTGTGTAATGTATAAGAAACACGTTACCGCATCGCGTTATTTCGAATAATATAAACCGTGACTTGCAAAAAAAAAATAATTGTCCGTACATGCACATGAGGTGACTTTTTTCACACGAGCACTTTTAAAAAAAAATTAAATCGTACCGTTTTTTTTCGCGTACGAGTAATTTAAGTAATTCTCTAATTAAGTTTTCATAAAAAAAGACAGAACCTTGAGAGTGATAAACGAAATACAGCAGAAATTCATTATGGCATTAACAAGCGATTCGCAGCTCGAATTGCACTCGTACAACTGTTGCTTCCAGCGATTTTTCTTTCCGTTCTATTCACTCGAAGGTATTTATTCTCATATTTAGATTTTCACAAATACTATAATAAAGGCGATTCAGGATGCGTAATAATACGTTATGCAGTTAATGGACTTGTGCTATATTAGACATTCTACACTACACTGCAGCATATTTCGATTATGTAGCCATAATGAATTATCGTGCGCATATTTCTTGCGAAAGAAACATTGTGACATACCTGTAGTAAAAGCCAGGGCTTGCAGAATTAAACCCATACATTCTTGCATGCAACGTAATCGGACAAACGGGAGAAAGGATTTAATCACATTGTGGGTATACACAATGATAGTGTACGTTCTTATACAACGGCATATCAACGTCAATCAAAGTATATTTGCTCCATTTTTGTAGATGGAATTTTATTGCGTAGACTGAAAATCATATGATTTTTTTTTATATACTCACTTATCTAAAATAATCTTTGTAATATCTACAAAGTGATAAGTGTCAGATTGTGTGCGCGTATATTCTATTCTTACACAACCATCATTTGAAAACTTTTCTATAATATTTGCTATAAATATATAGAATAAGAATATATAGATATATAAAATATATAAATATATATAATAAGAATATTATAAATATATATAATATATAATAAAAATTTTATTCTTATTATGAAAGTGAATTCGTGCTGTATGTGATTTGCAGAGAAAAAGACGTATTTATTAAAAGATGCGTTTCATACTGCGGTTTATTATCGTTAAAAATAACTCAAAGATGACTTCATACTCGGAAAATAATCGATAACTTGCGATCTCTTTCTAAAGTGACGTCTCATTTAGTGGTACAAGACCCCTGTTAATCTCAATCTGACAAAACATCACATCGTACAAGCACAATATGCGACTATCTCGGAGAGTAATGCGCGTCAGCTGATTCAGTTTAGCCGTATGAATGAACGAGGAGTTTGCCAACTGTGATAGCTCTCATCAATCATGTCTTGGCATCTTTGCTCGGAAAAAAAGAAGGGAAAAAAAAATACGCGCTACGTACTCCACGAAAAATTCTTTGCTCTCGCGAGGACGATCATATTCGACAACCCCTTCCGACGATGTAGAATTCGATCTGCACTCGAGTGCCCTCGCGGGTATCTTTCTTCCACGAAGCAGCTTTCCCGATCGGGCGCGAAGGTTTTTATTCAATTAATTCGCGTCACACCGCGGAACACGCGATCCGACCGCGACGAACACGTCCTAGGGGGTTTCGACTCGCAGTTGGCACACGTGCGCAGGTGGAGTGTGGTTTTTGCCGGGCAGTGGTGGCGACGGCGACGACGACGACGGCGGCGACGATGATGGTGGTGGTAGCAGCGGCGGCGGTGGTTTTTTGCGCCAACCGCGAGGTCTCTAGTGGCTTTTTCCCTTCTTTTCTTTGGTACCCGCCCGTGACACGGGAGGGAGAGAGAAAGGCGGAGGGAGAAGCGAGGAGCACGACATCCCATAGCCATGCGTTTGAGAAAGAAAGCGTAAAAGAAGGATAGGGAAAGGGAGAGGGAGAGAGAGAAAGAGCAATCGGATCGTGGTTCGTTCCTTCCAGCTGGCCTGGCAAAAGCGAAGAGGCCTCGTCGCGCGGCTGCTCGTTCGGTCAATGTCTTCTCTTTCTTCCTCGCTCTTTCCCTCGCCAGCCCTCTCGCTCCGTCTCCCTCATCCTCTCATCCCCTCCCAGCGTCGTCTCCTCGCGGCTCTTTCTCTCGCTTCTTCTCCTCGCTCCCCGCTCTCTTTCATCGCTCCCCCCCACCAGCAGCGCTCCCGTGCTGCATCGCGCACACACGAGACACGGGTGTCTGCGAAATCCCTCTGTCATCTTGCGAACGCCCGTCCGCGGCGAGGAAATTATCCCGCGCCGTGCGCGATCGCGAAAAATCAGTTGCTCGCGCCACCGACTCGTCATCGTCGTCCTCATCCTCGTCCTCGTCCTCGTCGTCATCGTCGTCGTCGTCGTCCTCGTTGGCGGAAAATCGCAGAGAGAGACCCGCTATCGCGTATCAACGGTAAACGGTTTTATTCGTTTCGTTCGCTCGCGGAAAGAAAGAGAAGGCGGCCGCGCGCTCGGAAATGTGCCCTGGTGTCGCGGTTTGAAGGCTCGTTCTGACGGAGAGAAGGAGGCCTTCTCTCCCGTCTCGCCCAACCACGTCCGACCTTTTTTTCGCCGGCGGTCGCGCGCAACAGCGTGTGAAAGTTCCGCGATCGTTCCGCCGCGGACTCTCGACTCTACGCGTCGTCGACGATCCTTCCGACATCCTCTACGTCGTCGTCGTCGTCCTTGTTTCTCGTCTCTCTCCCTCGTCGCTCCAACCGAGTTATTTTCGCGGCGAGATTCCTGTCCTGCGCGGGGTGTTTGTATGTGTTCCCGAGGTGCGTCTAGCGGTGAGACAGTGCGAAAACACTCGATCGTGCAGTCGGAGAGCATGGCTATCGGCGACGTCGGTATCGTCACCGTGCGTTGCTAGAGCGGCAGCGGGTATCGCGCGGGCGCGAGAAACGAAACACGACACCGCGGATTCGCGAGCGGGATACAACTAGCGACTTTCGGGAATTCGATAGCGGCGTTGCCTCTCATTTCTCGCGAACACAGGTGGGCATCTATATTTGTGGACCGATTTAATTATAGATTGATAATTATTGTCAGATTAGCGCTTCTCGTGCCTAGTATTTCGTTACTGACGGCAACAACGGCGAGATTCTTGCATAATTCTTATTTACTTTTTATCTTATATATGTATAAAAAATGTAATACAAATAAAAATTTCTCCTCCATATTAAGTGTAAAATTAAAATTTATAACAACAATTGTGCGTCACTGCTACAAATATTGTTTCTTTATATTTTTAATATTTTCAAGATAATTTGTAGAACCAATTAATGTAAAATTAATCTGAAAAAATTATATTCATATGTGTAAGATATAAATGTCATATATACATATATGTATTATATTATATATTTGTATATATATATTTATGCATTATTTTGTATGTTTTCAGAGTGCAATAAAGTTAGCTGGTAAAAATAATGTCAAGAAGCTGCATACATTGTTGTCGATAGTGGAAGAAAAACCAAAAGTGGATACAGGACAGAATAACAGGCACAACGAGCACCACATCAAAAATAATTTCAAACACAACCATTACACACATAATTCCATACTGACACCCTCGACGTTAAACCAGGTATCTTGATTGAATTATGTAAGCAATTGAATCTCTTACTGATCTGATTTTAAGAAATACCACGTGACAATGTATGGAAATTTCTTTTACAGGGCCTAGATGCAGGTACAAGTGACGATAGTGGTAGAGCATCTGAACAATTGCACGGCCCTGGTATACCTAGGGATTGCCAGGACGCAGACAGTTCCAGGGACCATCTCAGCGATGTAATCTCATACTATAATTCAATTAAATTCATATAACTTAGAATTTATATGCTAAATAAATGTTAATCTGCCTATAGTTAACAAAAACTTATTTACTGCATACAAAAATCAATGTACATTTCTTTATTATCAAATGTAAAGTCATAAATTAGTGTATTTACTCAGAAATTATACATATATGTTTATACTCACATCTATTTTTATAATACAGGCTAGCAGTCATTGCAGTTCGGGTAAAGGTTATATCGTGAGTATTGCTGATAAAAAATATCTTGTAAATATAAATCCTATATTTCTTTTTATAATAATAAACGTAATATATTAACGAGATTATTTATAAATTGTTTCTTTGTTTTAGTGTGATAGTGAAGGAGAAGACGATAAGGTATGTTCACATTTTTAAATATTTATAAATAAAATATTTATATATATTGTTTCATTTTAATGATTAATTTTATGTTACAGGGCTCGGATGCCGAATCGATACTCTTTGAATCTTCTACCCCACCACCTCTTGCACGTAAATGTAAGTAATGTTTTCTAACAAATACAAATGCAAATATGAGCAACATATTTATGTTTCAGAATTATAAATATTATCTCATATCTCTTTTTTTCTATGTAACGTATATCTTATTTATTTTTTCTAGACGAATTGCCCTCTTCTTCGCCACACGTTTTGCCACCCGCAAACGGGGCAGGTGGATCTCCACCGGATACGGGTGGGCAAATTTCTAATCCAGCAACGGATGCTCCGGCACCTATACCGCCTCCTGTGCCTGCATCTGCACCAGTTCCAACAGCGCCGAGTCCTCCCAGTCCAACGTTGCCTCCACACATATCCCAGCCTCCTGTAAGTATACCTCCATGTTATAAAAATGTATGCATAGAAAATAACTTACGTTTGTCAATGATATTTCAGATGACTAGTCCTTTGGCAGCGAATCCACGTGCAATAGCTCCGCAACAGCGGCCAGCTTCCCCTGCTCTGCCACCACCTTCCCTGTCCCAGCAGCCACATACTACGATACCTGCATTACATCCACCTAATGTGCCCCTCGTCTCGTCAAGTCATACAACTAGTCCAGCGGTAGCCAGTTTAGGTGTCACGCCAGCAGCACCTTCGAACGGAGCGGCTACCACGAGTTATCCACCGCCAATTCCTATAGCTGCGTATCCGCAGACGCAACCATCGTATCCACCGCTCTACACTCCGTATACTGCTTTAAATCATAGCCCGTATCTTCCTCCTGCGGTACCATCTCCTTCTCATTCTGCTTCATCACGCGCAGATGTGGTAAGATACACATTGTATTATTGTTAACTTATTAGTTCCAAGTTGTGAAATGCAAGTATTAATAATGAGGATAATAATTGTATTTTAGAGAGGAAGTAGAGCTTCTCCCTGTACCAACATAAATAAACAGACCATAGGAAATAACCTTGCGAGTCATAATAATACTCCATTGAGCGCTGCCACTACGACATGCGTGTCCACCATAACTAATACAGTTACCACGGCAAATTCTATCGCCCATAGAGACATGGTAGCCTGTAGTCTGTCCGGACGGAATAATAATTCTCCACGTGGACACAGTCCTAGTCGGGAAAGAGATAGTTACAGGTAAAATATTTTCTTTTTTTTATAGTATTACAGATACAGCTATCATAGTTGCTTGATTCACTACAGACAAGACAGACAAGAAATTTTTATGATAATTGTAATATTTGTTACAGCAGCAACGTGAGTAGTCTAAGTCGCGGCAGCATAACGCCTGTTAGTGTGCCAAACACCTCCTCTCCAGCCAATTCTAGTCTACCTGCATACACCAAACCACAAGGTTGGATTAGGTAAGCCAACAAATTTTTCAATCAAAGTGAAATGTATTGCTTAAAAAATAATATTAATAATCTTTTACCTGTACAAAAAATAGCAGCAACACGGCTTCTCAGCTATCTCCGGCAACAGCTACATCTGTTCCGAGGCCAACTCCGCCACCGGTACCACTAGGTATACACACATTTCCACCACCGATGTTTGCGGCGCCTTTACCACCACCTGTGTCCAGTTCAAGCCCGCATACTTCACTGTCTTCGCTTCCTCCATCGACGACCAATCCAAATCCGTTTTCCGCGGAGTCTCTGTTTCAAACAAGTAAGCTTATAATCAAATTTTTTGCAATATATAATATATCTATATAAACATAGGCACAGATAATAAATGCGCTAACCAAAAGAAGGGGTGACACATGTTGCAGGTCAAGCAGATCTCTTGAGGAGAGAACTTGATAATAGGTTCTTAGCGTCTCAGGATAGAAATGTTGGAGTGGGAAATTTGGGTCCACCGGCATACCTTCGAACAGAAATGCATCATCATCAGCATCAGCACACACATGTACATCAACATACAACACCGTTACTGCCACCGGCTGCAGCAACAACACTTTTTCCACCTCCAATTGTAAGAAACATATCTACTATCTAATGATCGAAGATTTATATCTCTTATATTTTATATTAATATTATGTCTAAACTTATCAATATGTAGTTTAAGGATATACCAAAATTGGGAGGAGTTGAGTCGCCATTTTTTCGTGGAAATTTAAATCTTTCCGGTTATTCCGGTTTTAATACTGGCCTTCTTCATCCTGGAATTGGTCCGCCTTCGACACCCTTCGTGCCACCTAATCATTTAACTTCATTTGCGCCAAAGGTACATGTACAAAAAAAATTATATAAAAAGCTTGACATTTTATACTGTACATTTCATTGTGCATATATCTTCAATGATTGATTTTTTTTTTAAATACAGAAAAGTGGAAAATGGAATGCGATGCACGTACGCATTGCGTGGGAAATTTATCATCATCAACAAAAGCAACAGGCTGAAGCTAAGGCAGGAAGTGTTGTTAGTACAAAAACTGAGTTATTAAGACCACCAGGCCATCTTTATCCAGGGGGACCAGGCAGTGGTCTTGGACTTGGTGCACCATCAATGGCACCCCCATTTCCCACTAACATGCCATCTGCGCATCCTCCACCCCCACCTCATCCTGTTGGTTTTCTATCTACACCAGCTTCACATTTAGGTAATAGAGGTAACAAAAATTCACATTTATTTAAATGTTTGTGTTCAAATTATTGTAGTTATATACATTATTTCTTTATATATTAATTATAATATTGTTTTATATTAGGAACAGGAATGTCTCCTTTTGGAAGATATCCTTCAACGTTCGGTCCGTCGAATCCCAATTTTCCGGGTCTTTCAACCTTTCCGCCAAGAGAAATGCCACCTCTGGGTGGACTTAGTTCGGTACATGATCCATGGCGAGGGTATGTTACGTCTATATAATATTACATTATTGATCAGCTATTATTATTATTCTTTTTTTAATCATTTTCTCTCTATTTTGTTCAAGAAATAAAGATATATTAAAAAATATATGTATAACTTTTTGTAGATTACAACGTGCTACTACCGGATTTCCACCGACCACTGTTTCGTGGGGTTTGAAACCGGAACCACCTACGATAGACAGGCGCGCCGAGTTGGAAGAACGGGAACGTGAACGCGAGCGGGAAAGAGAGCGCGAACGGGAGCGTGAACGTGCCGAACGGGAACGCGAGCGTATCAGACGCGAGAGAGAAAGGGAAAGGGAGAGAGAAGAACAACGCGAGAGAGAAAGACGGGAACGCGAAAAAGAGGAGAAGAGGAAACAACAGGAAGCGGCAGCCGAACGAGAACGAGAGAGGCGGGATAAGGAACGCCGTGAGATGGAAAGACGTGAGATGGAGCGCGAAAGACTACTTCATCAAAATCGGCAACACATGATTGTTCCTCGAGATCGTTCACCACTTAGAAACGGCTCGACGCCTTTGGATACCGGAGAAGTGCGCATAAAAGAGGAGCCACGCAGTAAAGACGACGAGATTGTAATGCTTCCACGACCACCGGTACCCGGTCCCGGAACGACCGGGTCCGCGCCAGGACCAAATCCACTGCCCGATCCGAGATATCATCCGCATCCGCATACTTATCTCTCGAGGCATCCACATAGTATGCCGGCTTCGCATTCTATGCCACGTAGTAACATACTTCCCAGTTTAAGCGCACATCCGATGCAACATTTTCCACCGCCATCCGCGCCTGCTGGTCAACCGGGAGCTCCTTGGCCAGGTGATCCCTTCCGGGATTATCGATACGATCCCTTGCAACAGTTACGATACAATCCATTAATGGCGGCGGCATTCAGAGAGGAAGAAGAACGAGCGAAACTATACGCCAGTTATCCTCCTCCACCGGTGAATGCTCTCAGGAGTAAGGATCCTAGTCCAGGTCCGCTCAGCAATTTGCATATGCATCATAGAGCAGGGCCCGGCCCAGGAGTACCGACGCGTCCACTCGAAAATACCATTATGCACGCGGATATTCACAAGAAGGAAGATGGATCACAGTCCCGATGATATATTGTTTCAGCGTCCTCGGTTTCTGCGAGAGAACGCACTGACGGACCGACATTTTAAGCGTCTCCATCCTCCATCTCCTTCCCCTCCCCCCTCCCCGTAGCGCTCGGAGTCCGGTGCTGATATTTTGCTAACAGAAAAAAAGCGCGTTATCTGAAAAAAGAAAGTGTATATAGATATTATATATGTAATATTTATAGCTATCTTAAGAGAGAGAAAAATTACAAGAACGCGCGTAGAACTATACGTAAGAAAACGTAACGAAGATGCCTTGCTAATAATGCCACTGTACCACCTATAACGGCAGCTAACGATTAATGTTTCACGAAAAATAACTATGGAAGGCGCACGGCATCGCTAATGTGTCACAAATAATCCTGCTGATGTTTTGTGATTTCTGCAGTTTCAGTGATCTGACTGTTTATAGTGATAACAAGCCGTAATCACGATGATGATAACTATGCGTACAGATTAAAAAAGTATCGTGTGTAATATTAAAATAGTTATTATAGAATGCGAGGCGATGGTTATATAAAAAAGAAAAAAAAAGCATTCAAGGAGAAAGAGTGGATCTCTATTATTATTCAAAAATTATTTAATTATTTATTTATTGCGGCGCGTATAAACGAACTTGAATCTCTACTGCTACAGGTGTACGAATGCGGATGTAAGATTTGCCCTTAATTTAATTGATGTAATATAAAAATGATCAAATGTATAAATTTCACTTCTTAGATTTTAATTTGTATATTAGAGACAGTAGAGAAAAAAAGGAGAGAGGGCATATATAAAGTGGAAAGTTCTTTGGCTTTCGAGCACGTGCTTTTTTCATTTGCATGCTGACTACAATAGCACTCCGGTGCTTTCCTGTGATATAAAAAGAAAAATGATTCAAGAGTAGTAAATTATTTTTTAATTTCCTATAAATCGTAACAAATAGAGATTTGACAAGTGCAAATAAATCAAACTATCAAGATAAAGTTACAGCGATTAGATATTCTTTCGAAAAACACAGGATGACGCTTAATATAATAGCAGCTTGTGCGTGCCAAAAAGTTGCTTCAATCAAAGAATATGTTCATAAAGCCCGATTTTTATGTTTACAAGATGAACTACGGATATTTTATTTTCTTTTCTGATCATTATCTCGATTCTCAGCCATATGCGTCGTTGTGTTACCAGAAAGCCAATATAAGATCTCTAAGTTCTGTGCCATGGACCAGGTTACATTCAAATATTCCTGGTACCTTAAAAAAAAAAAGAACTTTGAATATGATTCTTATAAATCAGATTCTTATAAACCCTATTTCGTTTATACTGTAAAGTCACCATAAAACTGTATATTATACAATTAACAATTATATATGGCGTGTATAATTTTATATATATATATATATATATATATATATATATATATATATATATAAATTATATATTACACGCAGTTTAAAAATTGTAGATATTTTTCATCGATGCAAAGTTATAATGCGATGTAATGATTTTGTTCATGTAGATATCGCAAAGTAAAGAGGATTTTGTGTGAATAGGTTTTTTCTAAAACTGATTCTTTGTAAAAGGATCTAATAATCATAGTTTCTATCAATCTTGTTTTAAATATTTTTACCAACCTTTTCTCTCGAATTCCCTTAAAGATTGTTAATTGCTTTTACGTTATATTACTAATAACAATATGCAATTTCTGAAAAATTTATTTCACACATATCCATCTTTATTATTTATCCATATGTAAAAATTATTCAATCATCATTGACTGGATTTCACAATCTATTTTTTGTGCACACAGTATAATTAAGAAATAACTGATTGAGGAGACAATTATATATATATATATTAAAATATAATTATATATATATGCTAATATCAATTTTTTAAACAAATAGTTACACTAATTTATATACTAAAAATGTTTATATATTTCATCACGATGTCGTGAATAATGTCAATGCTATTTATTTTTGTAAAGATTTAAGATGTTAATTAACTATAAAATGTGTTACCATTACATGTTGTGAAATTAGTATATTTCAAAAGTGCTTATTTGACAAAACATGAAATTGTGATATTCATAAAAGAGTCTATGATTGCCATGAATTGGTAAACACATTCACAATCCGATATAGTTGTTATACGTGTATTATTTAATATGATAATATGATCGTACAACAATGTCGTGGTGATATCAAGTTCAAAAAATACAATGTATGTACAATGCGATAAAAAACTATCGTGAGCTACTAGTGCTGGATCTCGTATAACGACGGTGTCGATGCCGCGGATTTCCCGGTGGGCTTCGCGATCGAGTCCTTATTCGGCGTCGTGGTGGTCGTGGACTTCTACGACGATTCATAGGTGGAGTGCGTCTACGATAACGTGGTGGCGTATTTCTGCCACCGCCTATCCATCGTGGTGGCATACGTCTTCCCATGCCAGGAGACATACGCCTCATCAGCAGCGGTCGAGGTTTCGGCAATAATACTGGGGCAGCCGTAATTTCTTGACCATCTATCTGACCTGTGAACAAATTAGAACGTCCATTAACACCAAAATAATGTTTAAATGATCAATTTACACTCACCTCCATCCATATGTTTCATAGCATTTTCAGCTTCATCCGCAGTATCAAATTCGACATACGCAAATCCTCTTCCTTGATTAGGATGGAGTTTATCCATTGCAAAGTCAACCATTTTTATCTGACCGTATGCCGAAAATATTTCCATGACATGTTCTTTAGTAACATTCCGTGTTAAATGGCCAATATGTATTTTTGTTGGTCTAGGGATTGGTGAACGTTCTCTACGCTTTCTACGTGGGGAAGGAGATCTGCAAAGTTATGAAAAAAATAATGACATTAACTTACGCTACTAATTAACCAGGAAGAGAGTAATTTTATAACTAGTGAAATACCTAGAGCGTCCTTTAGGTTTAGGTTTATCAGGAATAGAATTGCTTCCCTTTTTCTTCTCCTTTTCGCGATCTCTATCCCTATCTCTGTCTCGTTCTCTCTCTTTATCCCTTTCTTTTTCCTTATTATCGTGTCTCCGCGAAGCATCAACACTTTTGCTACGACTACGTTTTCTTCCTCGGTCTCTGGAACTACCGGAAGAACTAGCTGAACTGCTAGATGAACTACTGGAAGTTGAACTTGATCTGGAGCTACTGCCACTACTAGAACTCGAAGATCCAGAACTGCTGTCTGACGAGCTACAAATTAAACGAATTTCACAAATATCAATAAAATACTTGCAAAGTAAACATACAAACTTAACTTGTATCTTCAATCTTTTTGATTTTACTAACCTACTTCCACTGCTGGAAGAAGAAGCAGCCCGTTTTTTTCGTTCCTTTTCTCGGGCTCTCTCTTTCTTATTCTCTTTGTCTGTAGCTTCAGAATCGCTCTTACCCGTGCTATCCTTCCGGCTTCGAGCCCTAAACACACACGGAGGGAAGGTTAAAATCGAATGATCGCAATTAAACGGCGGATATCGATCGAATGCAACAGAATTACTTACATGATTAATGATGATCGATTTTTTTTAACTGCACTTCGGTCAGCTCGAAAAGCAAAGTCAATTCTAAAGAAAAGTCAATAATACGCCGCGTAAACGACAATAATGGCGGATTACCGGGATATTTAGTTCTCGCGTAGTACACTTGTAGCAGAGAGAAGCCTGAGGACGGCCATCCTGCCTCAGCGACGCATGTCTAGTGCGCTCCCTGAGAAAGTGAACATAAACTACGCCGTTACATTCGGTAACAGACGTAGTACATGGTTCATATCCGGACTAATCATTGATCCATATTCTGAATCTTCTATATCTGGGGCTCTATTCTTGAAATCGTGCGAAAAATTATCGTATGCGAAAGTGAACGCTGCGCGATGATGACGCGGCGTGATGTCTTTGATTGGTGTATATTTTTAGATCTAAGAGTATACACCAATCAAAGATCGCGCAGCGTCACTTTCGCATACGATAATTTTTCGCACGATTTCAAGAATAGGGCCTTTGATCATAGCAATGTCAAAAAATCGCACAACGTGCTATTAAATCATCGTTAAAATAATTATATACATACACTTTGGATGGATAAACATAAATATGATTACCGCTAGATCGTCACGGCGTTAGTGAGTATTGTTGCTTCGTTCTATTTGACAAAATTTCCCTACAAAAACTTCCAAGTGCTTGACCAATCAGAGCGAAGAATCTTTGTTTCTTTCATTCTGATTGGTCAGTCAAATGCATCCTCGAGCCTTATAAAGATGGAGGCACTCGATTGACCACGTCGCCAATTGGCCAATTCAAAATAGGATTCTTTGATTGGTCAATCATTGTAGGTTTCCTTAGGCACAAGTCGATATAATTGGCAACGATCAAACGTGACGCTCCCAATAAAGACCATATAATTGATGTACACAAGATGCATTCGATATGTAGAAAAAAAATATTTTAAAATATTACATCAATATTTCAAAATATGTACATCCACGTGATATATATTTTTTATTTAAGATTTTGTAATTAATCGACCTTTAATGCGCATATGTTGTGTACATACCTTTTTCTTTCACGCAGTATGTACTATTGTAATTTTTTGCAATGAAATGTGAAAAAAGGAAAAAAAGGAGAAAGAAGGCGGGATAAAAAATATAAATAAATTATCATTAATTTATTCAATAAATTGTTTTCTTCTTTCATTTTACCTTTCAATTATCTTTTCGCAAAAATGTATATAAAATTGCAATTTCTCTGCTACAATAAATAGCAAGAAAAATAATGAGAAAAAAAAGATGGGTCTAAGGATGTAAATAAAGATCATTAATTTACACAAAAAAATTGAAAATGATTTAAAAATAAATAAATTAATTTTTATAGTGTTTTTTTAAGGATTAATTCATTATTTTTACACAACAAGTATTTTTTTTCTTTATGAATGAAAAAAGAAAGTGACAATTCACTTCTGATCGTAGTTATGCGATTGTAGATGCTAGATCGTTTTCGTATCGTAATCAGTTTAAAATGTAACAGTATTAGCGATACTTGCTGAGCATTTAAATAACAAGCGAAATGTCATTTCTGATATAATAGAACTTAATTAGCTTATATATTTAATTTATTATACGTTTTGGGTTCTATTAAAATATTTAAAAATATATGCTATCCATGGCAAACCTTCAGATTTCTATTGAATGGCCGAAAAAACTTGGCGACATGTATTCTCATGATCTGCAATTATATCAAAATGTTCCATTTGGAGAGATAATGCTAGATGAATTGCGAGAAATATGTGAGACACGACTTAAAGGTTAATTTAAATGTATTACACAACATATAATATACTTATTATATATGTCATTTTCCATATAGTTAATATTATATAATTATTATAATTTCTTCCCATATGTGATTAATGAAAAAATATATTTTGTGTATATATAGTTCTTACTTTGGTGGAACGTATACATTTACAAAAATTGACAATGTCTGTGTCACAACGCAAAGTTGCCTTGATCAAAGAATTGTACAAAGAAGGAATAGATGAATTTGCGAAATTGATTAATAGTTCTGGATGTGAATCACATACAGATGAAGATATACGTGTTAGAAGAAGAGATCATATATCTCATTTTATATTAAAATCTGTGGTTGCCTTCAATAAACTCAAAAAGCGCTGGTTTTTTAAGCAAGAAGCAAGATTGTTCAAATGGAGATTTTCTTCGTTAAATAACGAAGGAATCAAGCAATTTATGCGCATTAATAACTTTAATTTTACACCTGTATGTTGATTATCGCTTGTTATGTCATTTAAATTTGTTATTTTTCATATATCTTAAGTAAAATATTCTGTTATTTTTAGATCAGTCAAAGTGAAAAAGAAGATATCAAGGAATATCTTCAAATGTCTTCTCCACATATTAGTAACATCAATAGTATACGATTTTACAAAGTGCTTTTCTCTCATGTAATTAGTTTAGTCAAAAAACGTAAAGTTTTTGTTATGAATGGTGAAGCTTTTGTACCTGAAGGAGAAATAGCATTTGTATTTGTGCCATATTTTAAGAGAATTCTAATATCAAGTTTTGAAGTAAGTATTTGTGATATACAAAAGTAATTATTATAAATCTGTTAACAATTATTTTCTATTCTGTTATTACATTCTAGGCTGCACGTGAAGATAGAGCTAATTTATATAATGACGAAAGATTCACTCACATTTTTGCCAATTTAGAAAATAATATTCATATTGAAAATACTATACTAGTACAAGATAAAGAGCTACAACAATATGTTTCACTTGATCGGTTGGATAAGGTAAATGTATATTATTTGTTAATCACTAATAGTTTTATCATTATGACAAGTTTGAATTTTATATCTTGTAATAATTAACATGTTAAACATTCTTATAAATGGTAATCGTTTGTTATAGCTTTCAGAAACATCTTATCCTCTTTGTATGAGAGTGCTTCACAAAACATTAAGAAAGAATCATCATCTTACACATGGTGGTAGAATACAATATTGTTTGTTTCTAAAGGGCATAGGAATTTCTTTGTCCGATGCAATGATTCTATGGAAAAATGAATTCACAAAAATTATGGATGAGGCTACGTTTAACAAAAAATATAGCTATCAAGTAAGATTTGCTTTCGGACAGGAAGGTAGTCGACGAGATTATCAACCCTTTACGTGTTTAAAAATTATGGAATCAATTGTTGGACCCAGAGATTATCACGGATGTCCTTTTAAACACATGCTGCAGGATGTACTGGAAAATGAACTTACTAACTGTGGTTTCAATGCATTGGGTAAGTATGTACTAGATATTAATTTATATACAAAAACACACACAGAATGGATTTTTATTTTATTTACTCTAATATTTAAACCAGAAAGATCAACAATAATGAACTTATCTAAGGATGGCCAATATTCTGCAGCATGTAACAAATATTATGAAATGAAACATAATTGTTTTAATGATAGTTTGTTCAAACATCCAAATATATATTTTAATGAAAGTGTGAAATATCATACCTCCTATCGTTATCACGGTGAGATTCTATTATTTTGTACATATCAAATAATTTATTAACATTTATTAAGTATGAAATATTAATATTGTATTAAAATTAAAGGTTTGGATTTGGAAACAGAAGATGCATATTAATTATTACACAAAACAAGAACATCTGAAGAAATTGGAACTATAAGAACTACACAAATTATATTTCATATTGTCAACAAAAAAAAGCAGATAATTTTTATAAATTATATACATACACACACACACATATATATATATATATATATATATGCTGATTTATTTAAAAAACTAAACTATTATTTTGAAAATAATATTTTTCAAGATTGATGAGTCTTTAGTAATATAATATATATATTTCAGTTTCAAGTCTCAAATTATTTTCACCTTAAACATAATAAAAATGAACGATCATATAAATATTTATTTACAATAAAAAAATAGCAAAATTACTTTTAATTTATATACAGTTTATAGTTTTATTTTATTTAATAGTTTATATATTTAAATGATTCTCAAATTTATGAAAAAACATGAGACAATACAAAATGTCCATCAATGTATTCATGCAACATTTTGTTTAGTTGAGATATATTTTAATATTGATAGATTTTGTTTGTAATTAAATTGATTGGATTTGAAACCGATTAATTTAACAATATAACGCGTGATTCCTTCTTAATAAAACAACAGGCTTAACAAAAAGACAGAAAATATTGCATCAAAAATATTGCCACGATACAACACAGTACAATTTACTATGTTCCATGACTTTTTATTCTGTAGATTGCTGCGGCGATACGTAAGTACCGAATGTATATGTATGTACATTTAAGTGATAGAGAAGTAATGTTATATGTACAAGTACACCGAATTATAAACATTTAACACTCGTCATACCTTACACATTATTACCTTAGTCAATTCGTAACATTGTACCGTTGTCTCGTTAAATGCTATTTTAAGCAAGGCTACACGATTGAAGAGTACAGGAAATTTTTGGCACAGTTTGTTATCTTAATGAAAACAGGATCTAAAGAGAGTTTCCGCGTTAAATGAATTCTAAATATAGCTTAGCAGAAATACGGAAGAAATGCTTATAATCCTCGTAATATTATTTCGAACAGTCATTATATCTGCCAAATGTAAGTTTCTTCAATCTAAAATATTCGATGTCTGACGTTGTCTCGAAATGATATGTGCTGTGTGTAACATCAAGTCAATTCCGCACAAATTCATTGTGAAACGAATGCGTGCGCAAATTTCAATTAATATCACGTTGCAGTCTGTATTAATTTAATATAACTAATATAATACTGGCTTCTCATACACATATACAATAGAGAAACCGTCATGCAATTTCAAAAGCGGGGTGCATCATAAATTTAACAGTAGCAATGGATGCAGCAATGATTTATGCAATGCATATATTACAATTTTTTTTTGTTAACAAAATTAAAATAGTTTTTATTTTTTATATTCACGCGCATATAAACAGCCACCCCTGTATACATTATATTTGAGAAACTAGGACTGTGTGTACTTTCCATTCTTCTGAAAAATGCAATTCAATCATTCATACATTATTTTTACACTCGTACTCATATTCTCTTTTTCACAAAACTTTTATATAGAAATAAAATATATTAGTGGGCACATTCATAAAATCATCATTTATAACAAACAGGTCAAATTATATAAAGTCTTATATTCTTTTTATCATTTACGCGTATAAATATTGTGTGTTAAATATATATATTAAAAATTTACTACATATTTCACGATTATTTTACACAGAATTTGTTATTCTCTATCCCGATAATGACGTAACTTTTTTTTCATTTTTTAATGGAGACGGACTTTTCTGGTATCCGAAGAGCTAATAAGGATTTAATAAAGTGTGATCCCTAACGCTCCTCCCATTTTATTAAATCATTTTCTTATATAGGCAATGGAGATACTAATAGAAAAAAAGGAAAACGGAAAAGATGACATTGGATTAATATCGCATTCTTTATGAGGATGAGAATCGTAGTATCATTGTATAAAAATCTAAACTGACCTTAAACGTGTACTAAAAAATATTGCTTCTGTCAAGCGAGAGGGCCGATTTATCGGTGATGATTCCAATAAAGGTTAACCTCTGTGCGCTCGGGATATACTTTCGTTGACGTCTCCACGACTCGTTAATTCGGATCGTCAGTCAGACCGAACACTGTTATTGTTGACGTAACGGACATGTTTTGCTGCTATGCATCTGGAATCTATTTCTTTTCCAAAATCTACATCTTTTCCAATTTAACAATGACTAAATCGATAATGTTACATAACACGACAAAATACTTGCATGTTGGTACGTTTTTGTGTAAAATGCAAGCTTTCTCTACCGTCGTATTGTTGTAAGATTCCAATGCCGAAGGAAGAATCGAAAAAACAAAGATTCATCGCGCATATATTTACTTTGCTTCATATAAATTCACACAATGAATCGTTTGCAGCGAAGATATCGATGAACCGACTTTCTTGCTGAAAGTGAGTGCGATATACATGTATATATATGTATATATACATACATACATATATATATATATATATATATATATATATACACACATATGTATAAATATATATATATTTCTACACATACTGTCAATCTCAAAATAATTCGTGCACACACACACACACACGCAACACATCACTAATAGCGATTTATCCAGATATACAATTGCCTGATGTAGCCTGATTACTGCGGTAAGTTCCAAGAATAACGGCGATCCCACGGCTATAATAAAAGGACCAACCACGGCTTGCGTTTTAATTTAACGTTAATTTTACGTTAAGCGCGACCTAAATGCATCGATCGCGGAAGAATTCAGACGGATATCTCGTAAACGGTACTGTACATTCTTTCCTCATTGGAGCGTGAGATACGTAGACTGCTCGGCGGCTCTCGTAGAATCTCCGTCCAGCCGCAGGATGGCACGGAGACGGAAAAGCTGGGCTATACGGATATTTCGTAGTTCATGTCGTATACGCTCGCCCGGTCCGGTGTCGGTGTCGTTGGTCTTTGCGACGATCTCGGATCATTAGGCGCCGAAACCATTTCCATCGAGTCAGTCATCTCGAGGGCTCTGACGAAGGACATCGGTCGACGCCGGGCGTCTCCCGATGATGTTGGTGTGGTGGGTGTCGCCATCGTAGCCGCTTTCCGCTTAATCTGCGGCGACTGATGTGGCGGGAAGACTGGCACTCCACCCCTCACAGCTGGATGATATGCCGCTCTGGGTGCGTTCGTGGCGTACTGCTGAGTTGTCGGGCTTGTGGGATTCGAGCGATAATAGTCATAGGGCGGGGGCGGCCGTTGGGAAGGCGATTGATGGGGCGCACCGCTCATCGCTCCTACACCGGCGGCAGTAGGATAGCTGCCAGGCGAGTTGTCTTTCCACATGTAAACACCGCGTTGCGGCGAACCCGCCAACTCGCGTATGTTGTCGACCGTTGTGTTATTGGTTCTCGAATACGGATGATCAGTGCCTTGTCGCACAAGCTCGCTTTCCGAGAGAAAACGCCGTTGCGGACTGTAGCCAGTAACGACAGCACTAGCAACGCTTATTCCTTGTGTATTGTTTCCCTGTTGTACATCGTAATACGTCGGCGCTTCGCTCACGCCTATGAAATCCGGCCGACGAACCTGCGTCGGTGTACCTGGGTTTGATCTGTAAACAGACACGTAAATCTTAGGTTTCTCCGGTATCTTCTCAGAAATACAAAATGCTTTCGAGTAATCGACAAATGCACAGTACAGTGAACCAAGATGAATATGCGAGTGCTTGAGCATTGTAGCCATACAAATACGGCTCTGGCGAGACATACAGGAGAGAGAGCAGCGCATCATTCCTGTTAAGAAATTAGCATCTATTCAAGAAACGTAAAAGATAGCGAATCTAGGAAATATATATGTATATATGTTTGTGTATGTCTATGTGGTAGTGCATGTATGTGTACAACAGTATATATATTTTTATAACCATATGTTTTTCTATATATACAAAGATATAATATATGCAAGAAAGCATAATTGTAAACTACGGTATGTCCTCGTAGGATGAAGTTCGTGTTTACCTGCAGTAGGTTGCAACATGATGGTAGAAAGCAGCTCCTTGCAGTTACCACCCCCTGCAGTGGGACACAAACTTATCTATATACCATATATCTTGTAGTATATACATGCAGAGACTAATCCTCTACAATATTATTATAAGCTACATTGCGCAATTTTCCTTTTTGACACGTTCCTTCGTCATTCGGAAGGTGAGAATAATGGTGAACAGAAGAGGAGAAAGAAGAGCAAGAGTGAGGTGTTTGACAGTACAAGGAATATAAGGACATCTTGACAAAACAGGCCGACATCATATTAAAGGGTATAGCAAAGAGGATATCGTAAGAGGAATATCGTTCAATTTGTATATTGGCAGCGTGCTCAAGAGATGCAATGTAACTATTACTAGTGTGGCGCTTCCCTCTTGCTCTCTACATTGAGATAATTTTGTGCAATGTGAAAATCGCGAAAATCGAGAGATATGTATATATATATAATTAAAAGTATAATACATTAGAAATTATAATGCAAATATTTCAAGAGCTGATCAAGTATAAAAACTCGATCAAAAATAATTTCGTTATCTTTGTATCACATGTAAATATGTTTACATTAGATGATTAGAGAAGACATTTTTCCAAGCTAAATCGAGCTATATATAATATATATATATATAGTTTGGTCTCTTTCAGATGTATAAAGTATAATGTACCTTCGTATAGGACTGGATATGGCAAGCGGAGTAGGTACCCCAATAGCTTTGATGCGTTGTTGCATCGTTGGACTTGCGCCACCCGGACCTTGACCACGTTGAGGGACTGTGGCGGGCGATCCACTCGTCTCTGGTGATAATGGATCGGGTGTATGACTTCGAGATCCGTTTATCCCTCTACAAATAAAACAAGTAATATATTAAAGAGAGTTTCGAATGTCAATTACTGTTGTATTTATCGTACGTACCTTGGCCTCGGATGTGGACTGCCTCTAGGATAATGCAGTGGATGGCGAAGCTGCGATGGCGGAGGATGCCTGGGAGATTCACTATTCTCCACAGGTGGCAGGAAAAAATTGCTTTTGGAACCGTGTCTTTGCAACGGAGGCGTAGGTTCACAGTCCGCGGATTGAGACGCCGTCGGTTCCATATCCGTATCCGATCCATCTCGTCCAGGAGATAACTGTAAAGATGAGACCAATGCGTTATTCATTTTATCTCAGAAAATATTTCAATCAAAAATATATTATGATACATTACACATTTTCTATGAGCATTAGGATGAGTTTGTGGGATGGATGGGATATATATGTAAACCAGTTAAAAGTGAAGACATTTCAGAACTCTGGATTGAATGGAACTGATAGAGGAGGTATCATCGCTGTAACTCTACAGATATCATAAAAAAGATGTGTAAACATATTTATATATTAATATGTTTGTATAATAATTTTAGTAAAACATCTAATACTAAGAAGCGCTAAGATACTACTATAAGAAACAACTTGCAAACAAGATTCATAAATACATTTACTAACAATAGTAATACTATATTACTAGTCATGCTTAAATACATGCACTGCATATAAGCAGAAAAAAGTGCTCAAGAATGTAGGCTTTTAAAATTTGTCCACTTGTGTTTTGTAATTATGCTTACAAATAATAAAGTGATACGAGTTACGATGATAATAGCTCAAGTCTAAGCATTTTAAATTAAAGTAGTCATCTTGTACACAGAATATGAAGAAAAGCAAAATTGCACTAGCTCTTACCTTATTGTAAGCATTTGAACTGGCATTTCTAACACCATTGCTGCTATCCATGTAGGTCTTTACCTGGTTCTCACTGCCTATAGTAGATATCTCTGATGCGCAAGCTCCACGTCGCTTTCCCGAATATTTGTCAGGCTTAAGTAAACTGCAAAATATGGGAAAATGCATTATAATAAAGTAACTTTTGTATAGAAAATTAATTTTACGATACCTTGGCTCCTTGCAATACCTTGGGTATTGTGGTCCAAACTGTGTATAACAGCAATTGCGTAGACAACCACGTGAAAAAGGATTGTAGCCCCCATTAAATTTGCCTGTTACCTGTTCATTAGTGGTTCGCCCTCTGGAAACGAGGACTACATGAAAGCCGGTCAGTCCAAAGATTGGAATGAATAAGAGCACTACCACTCCCATGAGTACGAGTCTGTACTAAAGTTAAGGATCTCATAAAATCAATGTCAGATTTATATGCAACCCACTTTTGCTACTTCTCCAAAAATTATTTCTTATGTAAAGGATACGCAACGATAGTATTAACTTCACTCAGTTGCTGTTTATGTTCCAGTACATAGTATAAACAAAGCCCAAATATACTGAGCATATGAAAACTGAGCGATAGGAGAAAAAAGAAGAAATATCTATAATTCCTCCTACCGATGCAGTTGTTCACCCATGGGCAGTGATGGTCGAATGTCTAAAAATATATACATAATTTATTTCAACATTATTTAAACAAACATTGGTTTATTTTTCAATGAATGCTAACAAAAGAGAAACATACGTACCTCGATACAATGATTACAGACACTGCAATGCGAGCAACGTGGAGGTCGATAAAACTTGCAGGTGACGCACCACTTCATACGTACAGTGATGCCATTGATCTCGACACTCTTGTACAAGGGAGCTCGAAAATCGTCCTCACGTTCTTCGTCAGGAGGTGCTTTAAAAACGAACAAAAGGGATTTCTCCATATCTATCATCTGTTGCATATGATAACTCGCTACGTAGATATATCGAATAAAATTCGTCTTGAAATGTCATACCTTTCGGTATAACACCGGGATCCATAAACGTCGCCAGTGAGAAGTTTATCACCACGAAGAAAGTGATGACTCCTTGCAGAGCCGGTACCCACAAGCCCCATCGAGAGACATAATAGTTCGAGCACCTGCAAACGACAGCGATGTAAACTGATACTCTCGATGGCCAAGAAAGTAAAAGGAGGGAAAAAAAAAAAAGAGAACGAGAAATAGGCGCGGAGAGGCTCCCATATCGGAACACTCCGACAGATTGTCGTGCTCGCGCGACAACTTACGGGAAGATGAAGAAGAGCGCCGTGGTGCCGAGTAGGACCGTCCACGCGAACGTAGCTGGCAGATATCTTGTCTTCACGTCGCATTTCGGCATCCTGCACGCTCCGCACGATTCGTGACCACCACGATTAACGCGAATTATTAATGGATAGGATTTCTGCTAGCGGGAAACATGGCCGCGTCCACATATCTCGCTTTACTCGCGACTCGTCCCGAGCCGGGCCGAGCACGGCCGCGCAGCCGTCTAGCTGCCGTCCGAGCGTCCGCGACACATGGGCCCGTCACTCGCGGGGCGTCATTCCGGTAAAAACATCCGCGGTACGTTGTTAATATTTAACGGCTCCAGCATACAACGGATCTCCGTGCACCACACCACCTCGGTGACATACATATATAGCAGTGCATCTCGCTGAATCTCGCGCTCGCGCGACAGCGCGCGTGTCAATCTCCCTCCTCTTCGCCTCCCCCCCCTCGCCAACGCAACTCCCTCCGTTCGTGCGTGAATTGACTGTAATTTTAAGCCGCATTTACACGTAAGCGCGCGCGATATGAAACACCTTTTTTCGATACACACCTTTTTTATTATTAATTTAATTAATTTAATTAATAATTTAATTAATAAAAAAGGTGCAAATTAATTTTTTTAATTAAAATTAATTTTGCCCTTTCATCCTTCACAATTTTTATTCGTCATATATATATATATATATGAATGTAATTTGAAGAATAACGAGTCTTATTTTTATTTGCTCCAAATTATAGATGATTCTCGATTCTATAATCAGAGAGAAACCTGAGAGCGGCCACCTCGCTTTAACGGGTATATTGTTCTAATGCGCTCCCTGACAAAGTGGACGTCAACTACATCCATTAGAGTCGATAATAATACATGGTTCGTGTCTGAGCTATGGTTCATGTCCAAGCTATGGAGTGACCCCAAAAGTGATACTCCCTCTATGGACATTCAAAACATGGACATGAACTACAAACTCTAAGTCCACGAATGTTCTCAGAGGGTAATATATAATTGCACAATTTCTGGTTTTGTTCCGTGCTATGTGCACGAAATGCCGGTAGCACCAGTGCTATATAACAATTAAATACTTATGTGTGTAAATTGATAATAAATAAATTATTCAATCGCGACAGATACTGTAATATTCAAAGATGAAATAAATATTTTTCAAAATAAATTGGTAAATAATACGGCTCTATGTATTTATCAACATGATAATTAAGTAAAGAGCATTAAGAGCCCACAAAACGCGGATGGCAATGCGTAAATTATTTCGAACATTAATTGTTCGCGAAATTTTTTTTTTTTTTTTTTTTAATGCGTTATTAGGAGAACATGATTTGTAAAGAGGTCATCAACGCATCTTCGACCTCCTCGCAAAATATATTCTCCTGATAATATAAAATAATAAAAAACGAATTTTCGAAAATTTTCACGCTTGCGTTATTAGGAGAACATGATTTGTAAAGAGGTCATCAACGCATCTTTGACCTCCTCGCAAAATATATTCTCCTGATAATATCAAATAATAAGAAACGAATTTTCGAAAATTTTCACGCTTGCGTTATTAGGAGAACATTATTTGTAAAGAGGTCATCAACGCATCATCGACCTCTTCGCACAATATATTCTCCTGATCATATAAATTATAAGAAACGAATTTTCGAAAATTTTCACGCTTGCGTTATTAGGAGAACATGATTTGTAAAGAGGTCATCAACGCATCATCGACCACTTCGCACAATATATTCTCCTGATAATATAAAATAATAAGAAACGAATTTTCGAAAATTTTCACGCTTGCGTTATTAGGAGAACATGATTTGTAAAGAGGTCATCAACGCATCATCGACCTCTTCGCACAATATATTCTCCTGATCATATAAATTATAAGAAACGAATTTTCGAAAATTTTCGCGCTTGCGTTATTAGGAGAACATGATTTGTAAAGAGGTCATCAACGCATCATCGACCTCCTCGCACAATATATTCTCCTGATAATATAAATTATAAGAAACGAATTTTCGAAAATTTTCACGCTTGCGTTATTAGGAGAACATGATTTGTAAAGAGGTCATCAACGCATCATCGACCTCCACGCAAAATATATTCTCCTGATAATATAAGATAATAAGAAACGAATTTTCGAAAATTTTCACGCTTGCGTTATTAGGAGAACATGATTTGTAAAGAGGTCATCAACGCATCATCGACCTCCTCGCAAAATATATTCTCCTGATAATATAAAATAATAAGAAACGAATTTTCTAAAATTTTCGCCCTTGCGTTATTAGGAGAACATGATTTGTAAAGAGGTGATCAACGCATCATCGACCTCCTCGCACAATATATTCTCCTGATAATATAAAATAATAAGAAACGAATTTTCTAAAATTTTCGCCCTTGCGTTATTAGGAGAACATGATTTGTAAAGAGGTGATCAACGCATCATCGACCTCCTCGCACAATATATTCTCCTGATAATATAAATTATAAGAAACGAATTTTCGAAAATTTTCGCGCTTGCGTTATTAGGAGAACAAGATTTGTAAAAAGATCATCAACGCATCATCGACCTCCTCGCACAATATATTCTCCTGATAATATAAATTATAAGAAACGAATTTTCGAAAATTTTCACGCTTGCGTTATTAGGAGAACATGATTTGTAAAGAGGTCATCAACGCATCATCGACCTCCTCGCAAAATATATTCTCCTGATAATACAAAATAATAAGAAACGAATTTTCGAAAATTTTCACGCTTGCGTTATTAGGAGAACATGATTTGTAAAGAGGTCATCAACGCATCATCGACCTCTTCGCAAAATATATTCTCCTGATCATATAAATTATAAGAAACGAATTTTCGAAAATTTTCACATTTGCGTTATTAGGAGAACATGATTTGTAAAGAGGTCATCAACGCATCATCGACCTCCTCGCAAAATATATTCTCCTGATCATATAAATTATAAGAAACGAATTTTCGAAAATTTTCACGTTTGCGTTATTAGGAGAACATGATTTGTAAAGAGGTCATCAACGCATCATCGATCTCCTCGCACAATATATTCGTTTCTCATTATTTTATATTATCAGGAGAATATATTTTGCGAGGAGGTCGATGATGCGTTGATGATCTTTTTACAAATCTTGTTCTCCTAATAACGCAAGCGCGAAAATTTTCTAAAATTCGTTTCTTATAATTTATATTATCAGGAGAATATATTGTGCGAGGAGGTCGATGATGCGTTGATGACCTCTTTACAAATCATGTTCTCCTAATAACGCAAGCGTGAAAATTTTCGAAAATTCGTTTCTTATAATTTATATTATCAGGAGAATATATTGTGCGAGGAGGTCGATGATGCGTTGATGATCTTTTTACAAATCTTGTTCTCCTAATAACGCAAGCGCGAAAATTTTCTAAAATTCGTTTCTTATAATTTATATTATCAGGAGAATATATTGTGCGAGGAGGTCGATGATGCGTTGATGACCTCTTTACAAATCATGTTCTCCTAATAACGCAAGCGTGAAAATTTTCGAAAATTCGTTTCTTATAATTTATATTATCAGGAGAATATATTGTGCGAGGAGGTCGATGATGCGTTGATGACCTTTTTACAAATCATGTTCTCCTAATAACGCAAGCGCGAAAATTTTCGAAAATTCGTTTCTTATAATTTATATTATCAGGAGAATATATTGTGCGAGGAGGTCGATGATGCGTTGATCACCTCTTTACAAATCATGTTCTCCTAATAACGCAAACGCGAAAATTTTCGAAAATTCGTTTCTTATAATTTATATTATCAGGAGAATATATTGTGCGAGGAGGTCGATGATGCGTTGATGACCTCTTTACAAATCATGTTCTCCTAATAACGCAAGCGTGAAAATTTTCGAAAATTCGTTTCTTATAATTTATATTATCAGGAGAATATATTGTGCGAGGAGGTCGATGATGCGTTGATGACCTTTTTACAAATCATGTTCTCCTAATAACGCAAGCGCGAAAATTTTCGAAAATTCGTTTCTTATAATTTATATTATCAGGAGAATATATTGTGCGAGGAGGTCGATGATGCGTTGATCACCTCTTTACAAATCATGTTCTCCTAATAACGCAAACGCGAAAATTTTCGAAAATTCGTTTCTTATAATTTATATTATCAGGAGAATATATTTTGCGAGGAGGTCGATGATGCGTTGATGACCTCTTTACAAATCATGTTGTCCTAATAACGCAAACGTGAAAATTTTCGAAAATTCGTTTCTTATAATTTATATGATCAGGAGAATATATTGTGCGAGGAGGTCGATGATGCGTTGATGACCTCTTTACAAATCATGTTCTCCTAATAACGCAAACGTGAAAATTTTCGAAAATTCGTTTCTTATCATTTATATTATCAAGAGAATATATTGTGCGAGGAGGTCGATGATGCGTTGATGACCTCTTTACAAATCATGTTCTCCTAATAACGCAAGCGTGAAAATTTTCGAAAATTCGTTTCTTATAATTTATATTATCAGGAGAATATATTGTGCGAGGAGGTCGATGATGCGTTGATGACCTTTTTACAAATCATGTTCTCCTAATAACGCAAGCGCGAAAATTTTCGAAAATTCGTTTCTTATAATTTATATTATCAGGAGAATATATTGTGCGAGGAGGTCGATGATGCGTTGATCACCTCTTTACAAATCATGTTCTCCTAATAACGCAAACGCGAAAATTTTCGAAAATTCGTTTCTTATAATTTATATTATCAGGAGAATATATTTTGCGAGGAGGTCGATGATGCGTTGATGACCTCTTTACAAATCATGTTGTCCTAATAACGCAAACGTGAAAATTTTCGAAAATTCGTTTCTTATAATTTATATGATCAGGAGAATATATTGTGCGAGGAGGTCGATGATGCGTTGATGACCTCTTTACAAATCATGTTCTCCTAATAACGCAAACGTGAAAATTTTCGAAAATTCGTTTCTTATAATTTATATTATCAGGAGAATATATTTTGCGAGGAGATCGATGATGCGTTGATGACCTCTTTACAAATCATGTTCTCCTAATAACGCAAGCGTGAAAATTTTCGAAAATTCGTTTCTCATTATTTTGTATTATCAGGAGAATATATTTTGCGAGGAGGTCGATGATGCGTTGATGATCTCTTTACAAATCATGTTCTCCTAATAACGCAAGCGCGAAAATTTTCGAAAATTCGTGTCTTCTAATTTATATGATCAGGAGAATATATTGTGCGAAGAGGTCGATGATGCGTTGATGACCTCTTTACAAATCATGTTCTCCTAATAACGCAAGCGTGAAAATTTTCGAAAATTCGTTTCTTATTATTTTATATTATCAGGAGAATATATTTTGCGAG